TACTGGGATCAAAGCCGGGGTACACTGCCACACAGCTACATCCTAGTCCCATGTTTCACTGAGACAGGGCCTCAATAAGACGCTAGGTTGCCCAGGCTGGGCTCTAACTTGTTAGCATCCTGCCTCAGTTTCCCAGAGTGGTGGATGTCAGGAATGTGCTACCTTGCCCAATTTCAATTGTGTTTCAGGTGGGGTGACTGCTGCTGACTCATGGCTTAGGCTCTGAAGGACAGTGGCAGGCCCTGTGTTCAATGCTATGAACATAATGCTTTATTTCAATTTCATAACCGTCATAACTTACTAAGAACTGTATCAGTGGGAAAGTAATCTATTTCCAGATGAGGAAACAGACTGAGAAGCAAGAGCATTTGCCTGAAGTTGTCCAGCTAGCAAGCAGCATCAACAATAATCAAACTCAGGGTGGCTTCACACTACTCAATCTTTAGCCACTCAGATATACTTCCTATTTCCCAAAAGAGTCGGAAGACTAGGTGGAGTCCTACCTGGATCAGGGACCTCATGTTGGCAAAGTGAGTGTCCATGGCACCCCCGTGGGGGAAGTTCTGGTTCATTCTCTTCATGAGCTCCGTGAAGCAACTGAAGGCCAGGGCCTCTGGCGCGGGGGAGGGGGGGAGGAGAGGGAAGCACAGGACAGTCAGCTGTACCTGGGACACAGGTTCCCAAGGGGGCGGGGCTAAGGCCCAGAGCTGGTGCACAAAATCCACAGCCAAAGGAGAAACATGTGGCCAAGTGGATTCTGTTCAGAGGCTCTCTGATCTGAAGTAAATTACATACTGCATACCAACCAGATAGCTCCATGGACTAAAGTGCCTGCTTAGGTAAGCAAAGCGCAGGGACCAGGGTTCAATCCCCAATGTGGTATGCCAACCCTGTCCCCAGGGTGTGAAGAGACGGCCATTGAGACTGGGTGTCACAGCGTGTGCCTGCAACCCCAGCACTTGGGAGGCTGAAAACTGGAGGATCACTACAAATTTGATCTGTGTAGTAAGACTTTAAACTAAATACATTAAAAAAAAATTATCTAAGCCATGCAGTTATATGTAAAAGATGAGCAAGGCAATGATCCTGAGAATGTTCAGAAGATTCTTTTATCTAGGAGTTAATTGGAAAGATTCTCACCCTGACTAACTATATATACTGATACCTGTGAACTAAGCTACTGCACTGCAGATGGTAATTTGTAACA